CCTCTCATTTTTTCTTTCCTCCTCTTCTCCTGTTTCTTTTTTGTCTCATGAACCTCTGAACTTTCTGTAATTTCATTTTAAAGTCTGTTTTTTTCTCATTGTTTTCTTTTCTTATTCCTAGCTTTCATTTTTAAGTCCTTCTGTGCTTGACTCTTGATCAAATTTACACGATTATGTTCAAAGTTTCATCTCATGGGCTTTAGCCTTCTATCTTAACCTTTTTTATCTTTTAAAAAAATTGTAACCTTTTAGCCCATTGGTTCTAGTCTTTTATCTTCTGTTTAAAGTTTCATCTATTTCTATATAATATCATTTAACCTTTATTTTGGGGGTTTTAGCATACCATCTATTCAGTTTTTACATTATGAATTGCTTTTTAAGGACTGTCAAGAAGCTAAGTCATGGTAGCAGAAGCAGAGAATTGCCTTCCCCAAATAAGAGACTGCAGAAGTCATCTAAACTTCTCTGCTGGCTCTCAGAACCAGCATCTACCTAGGATTTTTTTTTAAAATTTTTTTCCTGAATGCATCACTGCAGTGGTTAACATGACGAATGACCACACATTTCATGAGATAGCTTGTACGCTCAGTTTCTCAAAATAGTGGTGGCCTCTTCTCTCATCTCATACCTTTAAATATGCTATGAGGAACCACTTAGCTTTAAGCATATGAATTATTAGTACTCTTTTAATGAACTAATCAGGGACTTAGACCAAAATTGGGTCTAAGAAATATGTAAAACTGTTATATATCTAAGTTGGGTTTCAGGAAGAAATGCTTTTAAATATGGAGCCAGGGGTTTAACTGCAATTAACAGTGCTATTGGTAGAAAATCCCACTATAGAGTTATCAAGAATTGGCAGCCTATTTTCATTTGCAAAGTTATTTTTTTACAGTACTTTTTTACAGACTTCTTAAACTACTGAATACCCTATGGAGATGTGAGTTGATAGGTTGTATGTTAAACTTATTTTGGGGGAAGTAAAAAAAAAAAGATTTTGCATGTTTTATAATGAGCTTCATTAAGCAGGTCTCTTGTTACCTTGTTTTTACAATCAGCGTAAATACCGTTACCTTAGCAAGCAGAACTCACCATGAATAATGGCTCAGAACAAGCAATGTTTGCAATTTTCTTTTTTAATTTAAAAATAAGATATCTGGACATATGATAATTACTGTTCTTCTCAAATGAAGATTTTTAGCTTAAAACTCTCAAGGTTTACACTAATGTGGCACAGAAAGCTTCTTCTTCTTCTTCTTTTTTTTTTTTTTTTTTTTGAGACAGAGTCTCACTCTGTTGCCCAGACTGGAGTGCAGTAACACACTTCTGGCCACCGCAGCCTCAACCTGCTGGGCTCCGGCGATCCTTCCGCCTCAGCCTTCCAAGTAGCTGGAACTACAGGCGCACACTACCACACCTGGCTAATTTTTTGGATTTATTGTAGAGATGAGGTCTTGCCCAGGCGGGTCTTGAACCCACGGGCTCAGGCAATTCACTCGCCTCGGCCTCCCAAAGTGCTGCATTACAGGCTGAGGCACTGAGCCTGGCCTGCTTCTTGTTCTTCTAAATGTACCTTGGCAGTTCTCCTAGAGGTTAAACCAGTTTTCCAGCCTAGATGCACTGTGCAGAGATCTTTTGTTAATAGTATAGTGGAGTCAGAATGCCTAAATTGATTGTCAGTTTTTCCAAAAATTAACTGTATGACTTTGGACAAGTTGCTGAACCTCTCTGTGACTCAGTTTCCTCATTTACAAAATGATAACAATACCAGGATGTATTTTATAGAGTCCTTATGAAGTTTAAACGAGATTCTATATGCAAAGTGTTTAAGAAACCCTAGGCACTTATTAAATTTTCAACAAATATTAACTGTCCTTATTACCATTATTATTTCACAGATAAGCTGCTCTTATTTCAACTACTTTAAATGTTATTGAATCTTCTACAAATATAACACCTTTTCATCTAAAAACAAAACAAAACAAAACTTCCTGTTTTGAGGGGATTTCTGTTATGTGCCCAGGTCACTGGAATTCTAATTTGATGAAATTTTGCACTCAATAAAGGCCAGTAGAATTATGTCATGAAAAGCAATAAGCCTTCTGAGGAAGTTTGGATTCCTTCTGGCAGGCATTTGGAGCTAGTGAAAATTTTTAAAGAAAAGGAGATCCTTGACTTAGCCCAATGTTCTTAACCCAATAATATCCAGGACAAAATGAAGATATCAACTAACCTTTGAGTTAGTTGTTCATAATCTTTGAAGAAATTTTTTTTTTTGAGTTGGAGTCTTACTCTGTTGCCCAGACTGGAGTGCAGTGGCACGCTCCTGGCCACTGCAGCCTCGCCCTGCTGCCTGCTGGGCTCCGGTGATCCTTCTACCTCAGCCTTCCAAGTAGCCAGAACTACAGGCGCACACTACCACACCTGGCTAACTTTTGATTTCTTGTAGAGATGAGGTCTTGCCAAGTTGCCCAGGCAGGTCTTGAACCCGCGGGCTCAGGCAATCCACTCGCCCCGGCCTCCCAAAGTGCTTGGATTACAGGCTGAGCCACCGAACCCGGCCTTGAAGAAGAAATATTAATCATGTCCCCAGGTTTGTGCAATTAAACCTATCGGGTGATTTTCTTCTTCCCGCCCCAAAGCCCCACTCCCACTGAATTAAGGTGCAAGGTATGAAATCAGCTTAATACATTTGCAAACACAATTCATGGTTTTGTTACTATGATTCATATGCATGAATCGTAGTTTCTGTCAATAAGTCCTCTATAAATCACCCTGAAAGTTGTTAGCAATATTGTCCTAAGACAAGAAGGCTACTCAGTGGGCAGGGTTTAAAAAAAATTATTTTAATCTTTATGTCTACAGAACACAAGTGCTTTGCCCACAGCAACTGCTTAGTCAATGTTCGTTGACTTAGATTATTCTGACTTGTGCTCATTCATTCAATAGCTGTTTATAGGGTGCTTAATATAGTCAAAGTAAGTGCAAAATTCCTGCTGTATGAACAGGAATGACCCAGAAAACTAGTTTTTATGGGCTTTCAAAATGTTTAGTGAGCTAAAAAGCTTACACACTAAAGCTTCTACTATATGTGGAGTTCAAAAAGTATTTCTGTAACGGGACAGTCAGGCACCAACAAGCCATTTCCCCTCTGATTGCTTTATAGTGGCATGCTTTATCCCCTGCAAACAAGAGGCTTTTGTTCAATCCAGTTTTCCCAACATCCAGAACATCAAACAAGTTGTGCTTGGTAAACTCACTACGCAATAGAAAAGCTAAGAGCCTGACACAATACAAATTGCAGAGGGTTCTGTAGATAAGACAAAGCACTTTTCCGGAGGAAACTGCAAGAGACGTTGTGATTTACAGACCTATCATTGTTACTCTTCATAATGAGAGAAACCTGTTGCTTTCAGACCATCAGCTTAAATAAATGATGATCTGTAGAAGTGTGAGGATAGCCATAACATTAATCTGCCTGCTATCTGAGATGGCATTCTTCCTTAGGACAATTTTCCTTTGTGGCCTCATGTGAGACACATTTTGCTTGCATAGTATTAATTTCTGAAATTGCAAATCATAATTCTTTGAAATATTTCATTTCCTTCAGAGATGCCTGATGCTTTTAAATTTATGCATTCAATTAACATGAATTAATCAAAGAATTTTTAATAGAGCAAAAGTAATTTTTCTTCAAATCCCTTTGGATTTTGTAACAAGAATCCTTTGCAAAGACGTTCTCTGCTTAAGTAGATGTTCTGTAATGTGGAAATGTTATTGTCAAACAAAGATAACATTGTAATGTGGAGCTGTGTCCAACTTGTAGTATGCATTAAATTTATTTGAAATAATGTAAAAATAACAAAGATTTTCATCTGTGTTGGTACTTTGATATCAATACCTATCAATATATTGGTAGACACTCAGTGAACTTGGATTTTCTTAAAAAATTCCATGAGTTTCAGATAATTTAGAATTATATGAAGTAGGTAAATAACACCCTAACTTAACTTTTCATTAATACAGACAATGGACCTATTACAATCCTGGCATCGGACACGAAACCAATACCCATCTGTGCTCGGTTAAAACAGACGTCTCCTGTGCACTGTAGTAATGAGATGGGATGGAGGAGTTGTCATCCACAATACATCCAAATCCATGTAATAATGAGTCTTCCTGTGTTTTCTCAAAATTCTAATTTAATTATTTTAAAAGACAATCTTTATCAAAAATTTCTGTTTTGACAATTCAGGCGTAAAATTGTCCTAAACCTACTAAAATACCTAAAACCAAATGGGCTTAAAACTAAAAGGGAATCTAACTTTTGTACAAAACAACTAATACTTAAGTGCCGTATTTACAGATAGTATTTAAATTGCCTTTTACAGATATTATTCCATTGTCCATTGATAGCCACCATGTGAGGTATAGCGTTCATTCACTCATTAATGCAGTAAGTATTGATCAAGTGCTGTTACTTGTCAGCCACTGTTCTATGACATGTGGATACAATGGTGAACAAAGCAGAAAAGACCTTCTGCTCCATTACAGCTGACATTGTAGTGGGGAGAGAGACAATAAACAATAATATAAATGAGATACATATTATTAAATGGTCTTGAGTGCTGAAGAGAAACACAAAGCAGGAGAAAGGGATGGGGAATGTTCAAGGCATTGCATTTTAAGATAGGGTGGCCAGGGAAAGTATCACTGAGAAGGCATTTGAGTAAATACAAAGGTGGTGAGATATTGAGAGGAATATTTGAGAGGGAGAATTCTAGGCAGAGGGAACAGCAAGTTTAAAGTTCCAGAAACTGGGATGGTGTGCTGGTGTATGGCAAAGGGACCAATGTGACTGGGTCCAATGAGTTGGGTGGAAGATGGTTAAGGATAAGGCAGAAAGGGGACAAAAGACAGTGCTCACCACTCGTAGGCCACTACACAGGTTGTGACCTATGCTCTGATAGGATGGAAAGTTTTGAGCTGAGCAGTGACATGATCTGTCTTGCATTTTCACAGGATCACACTGGCTTATTGTGAGAATAGACATGGTTGGGGAAGGGGATATCAGATTCAGAAAGACCAATTCAGAGACTATTGCACTTATTTTGGCAGGAGAAGATGGTGGTTCGTTTTAGTAGAAAGTAGTAAAAAAATGTGTTGGCAAAGTCAATGGTAATGTCAACTTTGGAAACAACCATACAAAGAATAAATAATTTCCTTCTATGTTGAGCAGAGGTCAAAGTTGAAAGAAAATTCTTGCTATTTACCCCTTGCTATTTGAGGTAAAGCCTTCTCCCTGAACTCCTCCACCCCATTCTTTCACTATCTTCTCCAAATCTGGATTCCTCTACCCCATTCTTTCGCTATCTTCTCCAAATCTGGATTCTATTTATCATCTCATCTCTGTCCTAAGTTGCAAACATCTCCCTCTCTACTAGCTCCTTCATTGTTTACAAACAAGGTACAGCCTTTTTTATATTAAAAAATAAACTCTTCAACCAATGTTTACCTAGCACTATTATCGACTTCCTCCTCTTATCTTCACTCTACAAGCCAGATTTCTTTTAAGTGCTATCTCTACTGGTTGTCTCTAGTTTCTTATTTCCCATCTTCCCTTTCACCCTCTGAAGTTTGGCTTCTGCTTGTGTGCTCCACTCCTGAGCACTTTATTAAAGCTCTTCCCATTATACTCAAAAATGACCTCCATATTGCCACATCCCAAAGATACCTTCCAATCCTCACCTTACTGAACTTTATTTTTTCCTTTCTGAACTGTCAATCTCTTTTACACTTATTCTAATAAGTAGTTCATCGTCAATCTCCTTCATTCATTCACTTTTCTGTCTCATGGTTCTTTACATGTGCTCTAGAGTTTTGTGCTTGACTCATGGGACTCACCACTTTTTATATTTCTTCCAGTAACCTCATCTACATAATGGATTTGAAAACCACTTCTTGGTTAATAATTCTCGGATCTCTCTTCCTCTGGCTTTTCCTTTGAGCTTCAGATTTGTACTGACTTCTGGTTGAGTCTAAATCTCCACAGTCATGTCAAATGTAATTTGTCCAAAACTGAGATCTTTGTCCCTCTAACTCTTCCTGTAGTTGCCTGATGATTGTGATTGAATCCTGGGAGTTTTTAAAAACTCCTCTAACCATCTCTTTATGCAACAAAAAGTCAGTCAAACTGACACCTTATATTCTAAATGTATCTGTAATCTGTCCCCACCTCTCCATTCCTATTATGTGTGTCCTGGTAAATTCTCACTTGTACCCTCACAACTCTAAAGTTGTTTTTAAATGACCTTATTGTTTTGCCACTTGCAATAATCTCTAATTAGTCTCTCTGCCTGTAATATTTCAGATCTCAAGTTAATTTCCCATGGAGCAATGTATCCAAAACACAAATCTGACCAGAACATCTCCTACTTAAGGTCGTGACCTCAAGAATAATGTCCTGTCTCTTAGCATGGCATCCATGACGCTCTAGGACATTTCACCTTTTATTCACTCCCTATCCTAGCCACACCCCACTCCTGGAAATTTTCTGCAAATGCTCACCTTAAGCTTTACGTTCTGACCCTTTGTTTACACTCAATTTACCTAAGATATCATTTCCTTATTCCCTTTTATAGCTGGTAGACATCATACTTAAAAGTGAAACTTCTCCTGAAGAAGTGAAATATGAGATATTTTGGAAAAGTACTGAACTCTTTATACTTTAGTTTCCATTTTGTATATGTGTTAAACAAGAAGGAGTATCATAGCTAGAGTTGTTGGATGGTGAGGGGTCGGGTATGCCAGGGTCAGGTACATATTAGATGCCTCCCAAATGTAATCAACTTCAGTTCAGGTTCAGTTTATCTGGATAGCCTCCTTTTGTTTCCTCTCTGTCCTTCAACTGGTCTAATTATGTCCACACAGTGCTGCCAGAACACTACTTTTAACCCCCATCTTCACATTTATACTTGATATTGACCATCTGGCATACTAGGCTGTAACATTCTTTTGGGCAAGGATCACATCTTGTTCCTCTGATTTCCCCTACATGATTAACACCTCACACATGACTGGGCACACCATAAGCTGTGTGATAAGATCTGGGCATCTGTTAGATGGTTAACAGAAAAACTATAATGTCCAGAGGCAAGTATCTCTTCAGTCACCTCTAACGTGTATATATTGTTGCTATGCAATCCTTGTTTTTTCTTTCCAGTCAAATTAATATCTAGAGGGGATTTTTATTTTCTCAGATAAGGTAATCATAGTAAAGAGTTACTGAAAGGAAAAGGGACAGCAAAAAGTACCCTAGGTGAAGCTACAGAAAATTTAGGTTATAACCCAGATCTGCTACTTAGTCCATTTGTGGCCCTGAGCAAACCATTTAACTTCTCTAAGTCCCAGATTTCACATCTGCAAATTGAGGATAATTACTTTTGTCCTAATTTTGAGGATTGGGAGAGTCAAATGAGACCTATACTGCATGTGAAAGAACTTTGTGTCATTTTGAGGACCCCGTCATTAAAATTGTTGTGAATTTGAGAGTATTGGTCACCCAGTAATACTTGTATGAAACCGAAGAGTAACCTCTTGACTATTTCTAAGTAGCTCACTTTTATGATCCATTAAAATTATGTGCACTTGCATGCTGTGCACTAATTCTTTTACATAAAGATTAAAAATGTAGAGTCATGCTATGAAAAATTGAACCAAACTCAAGATTGCAAGCATAATTCTAACTCTGAGAGCATGTTAACAAGTCCACATTTGTACTTACCTCCCTGTGGAAAGAACTGCGAGTAAATCTCTTTGAAGGTTTCTTCATTAACAACACCGCTGGGGCATTCCTAGAGAAAGCGGCAAAGAAACATTCTGAGCAAAGTGTTCATAAAACTGATTTTTTTGCACATTTTGAAACAGAACTGTCGACCATGCAAAGCTACACCAAGAAAGTTAGCCACTCATCTATTCGTTGTTACAAAGAGAATAAAAGCACTCTATAAACTTTTCTTTGTCCCTGTTCTCATGGAATAAAAAAAGGCAGATATAAATATCTTTGCCTATTATATGTCAAAGTAGGTCTGACGTATAACAAAACATACTGCTGCTTTGAAAAACACATGTGTTTATCATTAATGAGGTAAGAGGAAATTGCATTCATTTTCATTCAGCAAGAATATTTCAATACACTTATGATATGGTCTTGGCTGAATCTTGGTTCTGTGTTCTCTCAAGGTTTTCCGAACCCACATCATTTTCAGTTCAATAAGAAAATGGCTCCATTAGGATCTAAGGTGGTTCAGGAAGCTTTAACGAGGATAATGACAGCCTTCAAGCCTGAACCCTCACCATTCAACTAATTCTTATTAGCAGTTGGTTTGGTAATACACATGACATGGTTTTATAACATGTGACTTTGAGTGAAACAAGACCTTAGGTTTTTTTTGAACTTTTGGAGAGAAAACTTTACAAAAACAAAACAAGCTGACAAACGAACGAAAAACGGGCCTAACCTGGTCTTAACAAATTGTCATCCTTGTCTCTGGATGGAGTTATTGAAGACTGATGCATTTGGACCTTGGACACTGCACTGATGTTGGATTATTGACCTGGAGGTTTTTTGCATAGGGCAAACCTAGCCCTCTGAAAGTGGTTTTGGCATTTTCTTTAAAAACAATGAAAATCTAAAGCTTTGTAAGGAGTCTGCCTTGATGCAGAAAATGAGATATGAGCAAGTGAATCTTAGACTGAGGTGAAAATAAAGCAGAACAAAACAAAAAACTTTCCCCACTCTCTTGAGTTATGAGAGTATTCTGGTCAGGACTATGAGGAGTGGTAGATATTGACAATCACATGGTGGTAGATATTGACAATCACATGGTAGTCTAGCATGGAATCACACAGGAGATGTTAACATACAATAACTCCTGGGTATCTGTGAGGCACTGTTTCCAGGACTCCCAGCCCCATACTAAAATGCTCGCATGCTCAAGGCCCTCAGTTGGCACTGCAGAACCTGTGGATAGGAAAAGTTGGTCCTCTGCATCCTGTATCTTTGATCCACTTTTGATGGCAGATGTGCAATCGTGGATCCAGAAGGACAACTGTATTTATTTTTAAAAATCTGTGCGTAGTTCAAACCTGTGTTGTTCAAGAGCCAACTGTACATTATAAGCAGAGAAGTGATACGCTTTGTCAGAATTCTTTTGTTTTTTGTTTTTTTTAAGCTGGAATCTCACTGTCACCTGCACTAGAGGGCACTGGCACACAATCACAACTCACTGTAGCCTCAACATCCTGGGCTCAAGTGATCCTTCTGCCTCAGCCTACCCAGTAGCTGGGACTATAGGTGTGTACCACCACATTTGGCTAAGTTTTTTTTATTTTTGTAGAGATGAGGTCTTGCTATGTTGCCTTGGCTGATCTTGAACTCCTGGGCTCAAACAATCTTTTCACCTTGGTCTCCCAAAGTGCTAGGATTATAGGCATGAGCCACCGGGCCTGGCTGTCAGTTTTTTCTGAATAACTTCTCATGAACAATCCTATGGATCTGAGTTCACCTTAATCCAGCTGTCACAGCACTCCCACACTACCTGGCATACCTCCAGAACTAAGTTCACTGGGGAAGAATAGAATTAACAGTGTTTCAGCCTCCCAAGAGGCCTAACTTTAGACATGAATATTCTATATGCTTTAAATTTGGCACAATTTTTAACATCTCCACCGATCATCTGTTGTGGTTTCTAAAACTTCTCTTAACCCTTAAAATCATTTGTTCCTCACTAATAAACTTATTTTATTAATTTAGTCTTTACTTTTTCCAGTGAACAAGTTACTTAACTGTAATGAGCTTCATGGGAAGAATTCTCTATATTCTCATTTGTTGTTTTGAAAGTAGGCCCTTTGATGCACATGCATAATAAAACTTAACTCATAGTTTCAATGTGAATTTGCGTTTACAGAACTTCTCAATATGTTTTTGCCCCCTTTATTCATTGTAATAACCCTATGAGTTAAATAGCTAAAATATCTCCATTCACAGAGGCAGAACTGGAGGTGATGAACAGCAAAAACACATTGCTGCTGAGCAAGCCAGTGGAAAAGCCAGAAGGTGGGCTTGCGATTTTCTAGCTCACTACAAGGTTTTATATTATATGACTCCTGTGGAAATAATGATGACCTCAAGAATCTAAGAGGATTGGAGCAAAGAAAAGAAAACCAAAAACAAATGAATGAGAGAGCAAGCAAGTAAACTGTGATGTTTAATTTTATGTGTTGACTTACTTGTCTGACCCCTGTGCCCAAGTGTTTGGTCAAGCATTATTCTGGATATTTCCATGGAAGTGTTTTTGTTTAAGATTTACATTTGAATTGGCGGGATTTAAGTAAAGCAGATCGTCCTTCATATGTGAGTGGGCCTCATTTAATTAGTTAAGACCCTGAACAGAACAAAGACTGATCTCCTGAGAACAAGACGGATTTTCCAGGAGACTGCCTTCGGATTTGATTTGTATCTCTAGCTCTTTCCTTGTTCGCCAACAGACTGCCTTTGGACTTGAACTACACCTCTTTTCTGAGATTCTAGCCTGCCAGCCTCTTCCATCAGATTCTGAATTGGACAAGACTCCACAAAGTGTGAGCCAATTCCTTAACAAATCTACTTTCTGTGTATACACATACTATTGGTTCTGTTTCCCTGAAGAACCCTGACAAAAACATAAACGAAATAACAGTCAACAGCTACAACTCCAGAAAAAAAAGATGGTGATATATAGCTAATCACTCAAAAGTTTTGACTAATTGACTCTCGTTGGCAGCAACAGACCAGTTTTAAGACTAAATAAACACACTGTAGTTGGATCCTCTTACTCATGGAAATTGTGATTTATTGGCTATTTAACTCCAAGCCATCTGCTTGGGATAGCACACAGAGAGAAAATACATGGCTTTCTGCCATCAGGTGATGAACTTGTGCAAGGTCAGAGCTGGACTGCTGCCTAGGAACTAAAGTGATACTGACAAGATAAAAGGACGCGACGTCTGCACTCAGCAAACTTGTTAGTTGCCTTTTGTCTCTAGATACAGTGGATGGATATAATGACAAATGATACTTAAAAATTGACTATCCCAAATTCATCTGTTTTATGTTTAATCATATGTCTAAGAGGAAATCCCTTCTCTGCCAATGCTAGTTCCCTGTCAAGTTTCAGGGTGAAATGTCTCACCAAATGTAAATTTGTCTTTATCCATCTCATATTCATTACATTAATTTACATCCTTACAAATACATATTATATGCTTTGTAGGAAGTCTAGAAACTGGGGCTGCCACAATAAATGAGTCAAAGATCTCACCCTCATGGAGACTATATCTCACTAGAAGAATAATGACTGCCTTGGTTTGTTCAGGCTTCTATAAAAAAGCATGACTGGGAGCCTTATAACTAATAGAAATGTATTTATCACAGTTCTGGAGGCTGGGAACGTTAAGATCACAGAGTCTGCAGATTCTGGTTCCTAGATGGCACCTTCTAGCTGTTTCCTCATGTAGGAGAAGGGGTAAGCTAGCTCTGTGGAGTATTTTCTAAGGGTACTAATCCTCTTCATGAGGGCTCTGCCTGCATGGTCCAATCACCCCCAGAGGCCCCACCTTTAATATCATCACATTGAAATATAGGATTTCAACATATGAATTTTGGGGTGACACACAAACTTCAAGACCATGGCAAAGACCACAAACAAGACAAACATGACAAAAATATCAATTCAGAGAATGATGATGTTTTATTTTATTTTAGAGAGTATTGAAATCAGTGCAATTTTTAACCTTCAGGCCAGAAAAATCAAATAAAGTATAAGACTCAAAGTGCAAATATCAATTATCTAATCTTTTTTTTTTTCACCTCTTTTCTGGAGCGATCTCTTTTAAAACTTGGGCTCCTCACCTCTACACAGAGAATGAATTTGACTAGGCTGTATGCACAGCAAAGGGTATACCATAAACAAATTTAGTTTGGTTAGCTTTTGCTATTGTAGCAAATAGGCCACCAATGAGATACTTGGGGCCAGAAGTGTCTTGGATTTCAGATTTTTTCAGATTTGGAATATTTGCATTGCACTTACCAGTTGAACATCTCTTATATGAAAATCTGAATTTCGAAATGCTCCAATTAGTTTCCTTTGGGCATCATTTTAGAGCTCAAAAAGTTTCAAATTTTGAAGTCTTTTATGCTTGAGATTAGGGATATTCAATCTGTATAGCAAATTTAGAAAATATATTTATTGGTCACATAACAGTCTTGGGTGAATGTACAGATTAGTTGATGGCTATTAAGGGACAAAGGCTGATGAAGATTTGACTATCTACATGTGGCTTATAAAGTCTCTGTGATTGTTTCATCTTGAAGGGGAAAAAATGTGGAAGATAGTGCACGGAAGATTTTTATGTGCAAGATCTTGAAGTGGTACACATCATTTCCACTCCTATTTTGTCAGTTATACATCACTTACTACATCTACCTCAAACAAAATGAGAAGCCCCATGTGCCTGGGAAGAAAACAAGATTGCAGATTTGGTAAAGAGTTAGGAATATGTGCCCCAGTAGAATATTTGAAAGGTCTTCCAAGTGTTGTGCTCTGAAATAGTTTCCCAGGGATGCTTTAATATGAAGTCACTTGGCAGTATACATTTTCTCTATTTCTCTGGTGCCATTTTTCAAGGCTGATACTTTTAAGTAAATAAATACAGTAAAACCTGAACATCTGAGGATGAATTTTCTCATTGGACTTTCCTAGGGGGAAAGATCTAAAAAGCAGTAATGTTCCCAGATATAGGAAAGTGAGGAAAG